ACAGGATTTTTTTTAAGGATTGCAAGAAATTAGGAAACATTATACATTTTAAAACTACAATTATAGTTATATAATTAAAAAAAGATTCGATAAAAAGAACAATCAAGGACAAAGCAGAAAATCAAACCAGTAATGTAAAAGAAAAACTGGGGAAGTGTTAAATGCAGAGGGAAAGGACAGCTTGATGAAAAAGATGAATAGTGACCTAAGAAGAAACAAACAATGGAATTAGAATCAATTGTTATGACACTGTAAGAGAAAATTTTCCCAAGTTGACAAATGATCATCTTAGGACCTAAGATGAATGAAGAGATATATATTCTTGGTCATCTCTTTGTACAACTTCCAACAGCCTGGCCCCAGACTTCTCCTCCAAATTACTATACAACAATGATAATGAGACAAATTTTGAATAGGTAATAACTTTTATTACCAAGAAATTTGTCACTCAAGCATACAAGCATGAGTTTAAAACTCTGATATTTAAAAAGTAATAGTTTTAGAAAGTTAATAAAAGTGCAGCAAATCAATAAAAACAACAGGAAAGAAAACAAAAATATCCATGTAAATGAGAAATGTGCAGAATTTCAGTTAAAAAAATCCTAATCCAAATTGGGCAATATAGGGAGACCACACCTCTACATAAAATTAAAAAATTTGCCAGGTGTGGCAGCATGTGCCTGTGGTCCCAGCTACTTGGGAGGCTGAGGTGAGTAGATTGTTTGAACCCAGGAGGTAAATCTGCAGTGAGCTATTATTGCGCCACTGCACTCCAGTCTGGGTGACAGAGAGAGAGACCTAGTTGCAGAAAAGAAAACAAAAAGTCTACGATTTTATATTCTAAGTTTTTATTAATTAGTCACAAAACACTGATCAAACGGAAAAAATCTAAATTAATCATTACATTTAATGAGCTCCCAAATAAAATCTTAGTGGTACTTCCTAAACTTTGTGAAGCTGATTCTAAAGGTTATCCAGAATAAACATGGATGAAGAACCAGAGGGAAAAACACAATGAGAGCCCCATTCTTGTCAGATATTAACAAGTTAGAATATTTGAAATAGTATAAAATAACATCAGAATAGACTGATTGGTAAAACAGAATGAAAGTACAGGAATAGACCCAAGTATAGTGCACATGATAATTTATTACAACATAAAGGTAACATTTAAAATCAGCGTGCAAACGATTGATTACTGAATAAGTAGAATAATTTCCTAAATATTTAGAAACTTAAATCCTTGTAAATTTTCCGTGCTTTAAGGACTTACGTGCAGAAAATAAATTTTTAAAATTTCAAGAAGGGATATACCAGTAAATATATCTTACTAAGATGGATGTGACTTTTCTAAGTACAAAGAAAAATATCAACTAATTTGATTTCTGTAAAGCTACATCTTGCAAAAATTGCCATAAAGCTAGATGATGAACAACAAACTGAAGAAAATATTTCAGATATAGATGAGAAAGTCCCAACAAATCATAATATATGTCAGATTTTAATATATAATAAAGATGAGAAAAAATATTTAACTAATGACGTTGTGAAAATTGTTAACTTTTCTAATAAAACAAAATAAAATCCTAAGTTTACGCCAGAAAGGAAGTGTTCTTTTTTCCTCTCTTCCACTGCTAACTGAAAGGTAAGCTTGATGGCTATAGCTTAGCCAGCCATCTTAAACCATGAAATAAAAGTCTATTTCGAGGATGGGAGAATAACAAACTAGAAGTCTTCATTCTTGATAGCAGCTGCCAAATGACTTCTAGTCTGCTTACCAACAGACTTAATGTATGTGAGAGTGACATTAATCTTTTTTATGCCTCTCTTACTCAGCTTTTTAACAACTCGCAGGTAAATCCAATTCTAATTGATACACCTGGGTCAGAACAGTTGGTATCAAAAGTACAAACGTGGTTGCTAAGACTGGTCCTTCTGCAGGATTGATGATTAGGGGTAAGTAGCAAAGAAGGGGTTTTGAATTATTCAGTCACTTCTAAAGATCAACTATATAACTTGATGTATTGTGAAAAGGTTTCTGGTCAAGTGTCAATTAGGTTTTTATCAAGGATTTAGCATGTGTCAAAATAGATTCAAGGCAATATTTAGAAACTACTCTGTCGTACACCATGTTTTCTTACTTCAGGTTTATCATATATATGCTTTGCCATAGACAGTGAAACCAGAGTTAGCTAGCTTTTACTACTACTGATATTCATTCATCAAAAATGTATTTAGTGACTACCATGTACTAAGCACCATTCTAACATTGCACCAGTAACTGCCAAACAAACAAACAAAAAACCCTGCCCTCATGATCTTGTATTATAGTGAAGGGAGGCAGAAAACACCCAATCAAATAGGTAAAATATATAGTATGTAAGAAGTTGATTAAATGCAAAGAGAAAAATAATAAAGAAGGGAAAGAGGATAGGGAGTGTCAATGGTAGCAATTTTAGATGGAACATGTAGAAAGGGCATTTGTAGGAAGGAAATGAGGTAGCAAGCCATCTGTTATTTGTATTATAACACTGTAGGCACAGAGAAGGGTAAGTTCTTGAGGTGAGCAATGCCTGGCAAATTTAGGAAGAGTAATGTGGACAGTGTGGCTGGAACAGAGTGAACAAAAGGGAGACTCGTAGGGGATGGGATAAGAAAGGTAGCAAGGGACCAGCTGGTGTGAGCTTTGGAATCTCTAGCTTTTACTCTGAGTGAGATGAAAGCCATTAAAAAGTTCTGAGAAAAGGAGTGACTTGATCTAAGTTTTAAACTAGTCCTGCTGGCTGCTGTACTATAAGTAGACTAGGCATGGAGCAGAAACACAGAGACTGACTCATCCAGGAGAGATGATGGTAGCTTTGACCAGTGTGGTAACATTGGGGATGTTGAAGAGGAGTCAAATTCTGGATACCTTTTGAGATAGTGAGGACAGGTTTGCTCTGTGGAATTGGATGTGATGTATGAGCAAAAGAGAGAAATAAAAAATGACTTCAAGGGTTTTGGCTTGAGCAACTGTTAAAAGGTGATGTCATTTACTCAGATGGCAATTATTATGGTAGAAAAGTCTGGACCTCGTTGTTGATATTTGAATTCTCTCTAAAGTCAGCAGTCTAGTTGATTGCTTAGGGCACTTGCATTTCACTCCAGATTTTATAGGGCCCGGACTTGGCCCTCCCAAGACCATGCCCTTCCTCATAGGGTGAAGCTTCCATGGAACCAAGAAGATGTGTCACTCAGCTTCCACTTCTAGATAACGCTCCAGGTGGGACCCTGGAAATCCCTGTCAAATTCCCTAAACCCACTTCCAGAATATATGTAGGTGCCTATCAATCCAAGTGCAGGCCAGACCATTAATACATGTACCCCTAGCCCAAATGCATAGTTAGGGGATGACTGAATGCTGGATAGTAGGGGTTATGGATGAAGTTTAGAGTGAGGTGCCCACACACATCTGTGCTAATCTTTTGTTAAGTGAGACTGAGCCAGGGGTAAGAAGAGAACAATGGCAAGCTATGGGGGAGGTCCTAACCTTCACTTTGCCACATTTTGGCATGGAACTCTGCGAAGCCTAAGAATTCTAAATTCAGATCCAACTTGAAAGTTCATTGTAAAGGTACATTTATCAAGCTATGAATATAGTAAATATTTTATTCAACAGGTTGAGATCTTGACATAAATATTTAGATGTATGGTATGTGGGCTCTAGGATCTGAAAATTAAAGGTCTCACCCTGCATTGTAAACACATTGCCATTGGTATGGGACACATATTTACTTTTCTAGATGGGACCCTGAGAAGTAGAAACTGGCCTATTGTTGAACATATTATGGTAACATTGTTCTGTGGTAAAGACATGGATTTATTTTTTCAGATGGGGCCCTAAAAGGTGTGCTCTCTGTATGTGCTCTCACAGTTCTTAGCTCAGTACTGAGCACCTGTGCAAGTGTTGGAAAACTACTGATCCTTTCCCTTCTCAATTTTCATACCTTTAAAATGGGGCTAACATCTCAAAGATTCTTGTGAGAATAAATAAAGTAAAATGTAAAGTAAATAAGCAAAATGCTAAGCATGCTACCTCACATATTAAAAAAAACACTCACATGATTGTTGTTCTATTCTCAGAAGTAAACATTATCTTACATTTTTATGCATTCTTAAATTTTAGAAAAATATAAATACAGAAGCAATGAAATAATTTATCTAAGTGTTTTTCTAATGCCCACTGAATCTTCTCTCACATCAAAACCTGTGAGAACATTTGCATGCAGATAAATAATTCCTGTATTGTTTTAGGAACTAGTACTATGTTTGCTTTTTGAGTTAAATACAGAATTCCCATTAATGTTGATGGTAATTAGCCCTGTAGAACAAAGCATGATGAATCGATCCCCTGCTGTGGAATTACTTTAATTACTTTGAACTTTAAAAAGAAACTCAAGAAAGCTACACATGATGACCTCAGGGCCTGCACTCCTGCTGCCATCCTAACTACTATTTTCAGTGAGTAGTCATAAATAGGTCACTTTTCAGCCATATTGTGCTTTATGATCAAACATATGAATAGAATATTCTAGAGACTGTGCCTTAACTTGGGAACATTTGATAGTCCTGAGTGGTACAGACTTGTTTACTATAAAATGCCCCAGCTATCAACTCAAAACCCAGTCTATATTATAGTAAAATTGTAGTAGAAGGGATAGTAGCAGTAATTATAAAAATAGCGTCCACCTAGATTGCCTTCATTTCTGATCACCCACCTAAACTGAAGCTTCAACTCTATCCAGCTTGCTTTTTCTTTTTTTAAAATAGATTCTTTTTGTAAATTATGCTTTAAGTTCTGGGGTACATGTGCAGATCACATAGGTATACACTTGCCTTGGTGGTTTGCTGCATCCATCCGCCCGTCATCTACATTAGGTATTTATCCTAATGTTATCCTTCCCCAATCCCCCCACCCCCTGCTATCCCTCCCCAGCCCCCCTACTCCCAACAGGCCTCAGTGTGTGATGTTCCCCTCCCTGTGCTCATGTGTTCTCATTGTTCAACACCCACTTATGAGTGAGAACATGCGGTGTTTGGTTTTCTGTCCTTGTGTCAGTTGCTGAGAATGATGGTTTCCAGCTTCATCCATGTCCCTGCAAAGGATATGAACTCATCCTTTTTTATGGTGGCATAGTATTCTGTGGTGTATATATGCCACATTTTCGTTATCCAGTCTATCTTTGATGGGCACTTGGGTTGGTTCCAAGTCTTTGCTATTGTAAACAGTGCTGCAATAAACATATGTGTGCATATGTCTTTATAGTAGATGATTTATAATCCTTTGAGTCTATGCTCAATAATGGGATTGCTGGGTCAAATAGTGTCTCTATTTCTACCTCCATGAGGAATTGCCACACTGTTTTCCACAATGGTTAAACTAATTTACACTCTCACCAACAATGTAAAATCATTCCTATTTCTCCACATCCTTTCCAGCATCTGTTGTATCCTGATTTTTTTAATGTTCACAATTCTACCTGGTATGAGATGGTATCTCAATGTGGTTTTGATTTACATTTCTCTAATGACCAGTGATGATGAGCTTTTTTTCATATGTTTGTTGGCTGCATAAATTTCCTCTTTTGAAAAGCGTTTGTTCATATCCTTCACCCACTTTTCGATGGGGTTGTTTTTTTCTTGTAAATTTGTTTAAGTTCTTTGTAGATTCTGGTTATTAGCCTTTTGTCAAATAGGTAGACTGCAAAATTTTTTTCCCATTCTGTTGGTTGGTTGCTGGTTCACTCTACTGATAGTTTCTTTTGCTGTGTAGAAGCTCTTAAGTTTAATTAGATCCCATTTGTCTATTTTGGCTTTTGTTGTCATTGCTTTTGTGTTTTAGTCATGAAGTCCTTTCCTATGCCAATGTCCTGATTGGTTTGCCAACATTTTATTCTAGGGTTTTTATGGTGTTAGGTCTTATGTTTAAATCTTTAATCCATCTGGAGTTAATTTTTGTATAAGTTATTAGGAAGTGATTCCGTTTCAGCTTTCTGCATATGGCTAGCCAGTTTTTCCAACACCATTTATTGAAGAGGGAATCCTTTTCCCATTGCTTGTTTTAGTCAGGTTTGTCAAAGATAAATGGTTGTAGATGTGTGGTGTTACTTCTGAGGCCTCTGTTCCGTTCCATTGGTCTATATCTCTGTTTTGATTACTGTAGCCTTATAGCATAGTTTGAAGTCAGATAGCATGATGGCTCCAGTTTTGTTTTGTTTTGTTTTGTTTTTTTTTTTCCTTAGGATTGTCTTGGCTATGTGGGCTCTCTTTTGGTTCCATATGAAGTTTAAGGTGTTTTTTTCCAATTTTGTGAAGTGTCAATGGCAGCTTAATGTGGATAGCATGCATTCTTAATATGTTCCTGTTATGTTCCTGTATTAGTCAGTTCTCACATTGCTACAAAGAAATACCTGAGACTAGGTAATTTATAAAGTAAAGAGGTTTAACTGGCTCACAGTTCTGCACAGAGTACATAGGAAGCATGATGCTGACATCTGTTTGGCTTTGGGGAGACCCCAGGAAACATACAATCATGGCAAAATCAAAGGGAGAGCTTTAACTTGTGGTAGAAGGCCAAGCCAGAGCAGGCATCTTTATAGGGTCAGAGCAGGAGGAAGAGAGAGAGAGTAGGAGAGGTGTCATACACTTTTTAAACAACCAGATTCATGAGAACTCATGCACTATTACAGTACCAAGGGTAGGGGGATGGTACTAAACCACTGATGAGAACTCTTTCCCTATGACCCAGTCACCTCCCAGGGCCTCCAACATTGGGGATTACAATTTGACATGAGATTTGGGCAGGGACATAGATCCAAATTGTATCAGTTCCTACTGTGTTTTTATTTTCTTATTCACCATAAAACTGTATATCTTCTCTATTTTTTATAGCCTTCATTGATCCATACTGGGAAGCAGACCATACAGGCAGGGAAACAAATTATCAATATATTAAGTTAAATTATACCAAATAAATGTTTTTGCTAAAATTAAGAATAGAACTGTCTTAAAATCTAGCAATTTCACTTCTGGATATATACCCAAAATAATTGAGAGCAGGAATTTAGAGAGATTATTTGTATGCCCATGTTCATAGCAGAATGATTAGCTATAGCCAAAAGCTAGAAGCAACCCATGTATTCATAAACAATTGAATGAATAAATAAAATGTGGTACATACAGGCAATGGAGTATCATTCAGTCTTTAAAAAGGAGAAAATTCTGACACATGCTGCAAAATGGATGAACCTTGAAGATATTATGCCAAATCAAATACGCCAGTCACAAAAAGGCATATACTGCATGATTCCATTTATATGAGCTAACTAAAGTAACAGAAAGTAGACTGGTGGTTACCATGGGCTAGGGGTAGGAGGCAAAGGAGAGTTGTCATTTAGTGGGATACAGTTTCATATTTGCAAAATTAAAAAGTTCTGGAGATCTGTTTCCTAACAATGTGAATACACTACTATGTACTTAAAAAATGGTGAAGATTATAAAATTTATATAGTATGTTTTTAGCCACAATAAAACAAAAATAAAGAAAAAAACAGAAAACTTTTTGTTTTGAGTTAGAGTTTTTCAACAAATATGCTTATGTGCCTACCACATCCATAACCTGTGCAGTCTCAATATTTTGGTAATGATGACTTTAGGGAGCTGAGAATGTAGCAATATAATAAAAGTTTCAAAATAGAGATGAATAAATAAAACTTTGAAATATAATTTTGGGTGTTTATCCTCTTAATAAATTATGTGTATAAAGGAATGCTCTCTATTGCTGGGGAAATCTTGTGTTGATTTCTTTCCCTTTCCTTTACGTACACCCTTACATTTAACACCTTTCTTTATTTTACGAGGCCAAAGCATCTACAAGAAGTATGTACTATAGCCACATAAATTGTAAATGGCCTGACAGGCATTACTCAGCCTGAGATCACCAGTTTGGTGTTTATCTATGTACAAGAGCCAAAGTATTCCTAAAAAACTGCTTTAACTGCAAATTTCTGAGTAGCAAAGCTCTTTTTTCACTTAGATTAAAACATTAAAGAATTGTTTTCATAGAAAATATTTTCATCCAGAGACATGAGTTGTGTTCTAATTACATCTATACAGGCAGTTTTTCTTCTTTTTAAAAATTCTTTTTAAATGATTTCACCTTTTACACTCAGGGGATACATGCGCAGGTTTGTTAGAGGGGTATATTGCTTAATATTGAGGTTTGGAGTGTGATTGGACCCGTCACCCCGGAATTGAGCATAATACTCAACAGCTACCTTGTCAGTCTTTCCCCCTTCTACTCTCAACCCCTTATTATACCCCAGTAACTATTGTGGCCATCTTTATGTGCCTGAGTACCCAATATTTAGCTGTCACCTATAAGTGAGAATATGCAGAATTTGGTTTTCTGTTCCTGCATTAATTCACTTAGGATAATGGCCTCTAGCTGCATCATGCTGCTGCAAAGGAGTTCATTTCATTCTTTTTAATGACTGCATAGAATTCCTTGAGATATATATATATATATATATATATATATATATATATATATATATACCACATTTCTTTATTGAATCCACTGTGGATTCACACCTGGGTTGGTTCCATGTCCTCGCTATTATGAATAGTGCTGCAATGAACATAACGGTACATATGTGTTTTTGGTCAAACGATCTATTTTCTTTTGGCTATATATCCAGTAATGGGATGGCTAGGTCAGATGGTAGTTCTGTTTTATGTTCTTTGAGAAATCTCCAAACTACTTTCTACAGAGAAACACAAGCAGTTTTTTTAAGAATGCATCTATTCCATTGGCAGAGTGCTTCATAAAAAGCCATAATCTCAGAAATTCTATCACCAAATTAGTTTAAAAAGTCATAAGACATCTCACAAAACCCCTGGCAGACCTAAAGTATTACCAATGAAACCAAAAGACACTCAAAAGTCCTTAACTTAGACTTCAGGTAACCTTACCAAACTTCCAAACTTGTTTTCCTTATTGCTTGCCTTCCCTCCCTTCCTTCCTTCCTTCCTTCCTTCCTTCCTTCCTTCCTTCCTTCCTTCCTTCCTTCCTTCCTTCCTTCCTTTCCCCTTCCTTCCTTCTTTCCTTCCTTCCTTCCTTTCTTCTTTCCTTTCTTCTTTCCTTCCTTCCTCTCTATATTCCCTACCCCTCTCCCTCTCTCTAATCCTCTCTCTCCCTTCTTCTCTTTCTTTCTTTTTTCTTTTTTTCCTTTTAGAATATAATAGATCAGGGACAAAAATATATTTACTATTTAACTTTTATCTAACTCCTAATAAGTTAGATCACAAATATTTTAGTCTTTGAAAGACATAATCTCTGTTGCAACTACTTAATTCTACCATTGTAGCATGAAACCGGCCATAAATAATAAGTAAGCAAATGGTTATAGTTGTCTTCCAATAAAACTTTACTTACAAAAACAGGGTAGGAAGTGGGGTGTTGAGGAGGCTGGATTTGGCTTGCTATAGTTGGCTGAGCCCTGTTGTCAGACATAGCCAGGATTTTGCATTTTATTCTAATGGTGGTGAAAAACACTGGGTAGTTTAAAAAGAGAGAATTAATATGACCTTGTATAGGCTTTTAAAATTTTTACTTTGGCCACTGAATGGAGAATAGAAGCAGGAGGCTAGTACAATAGTCCAGGCAAAAATGGAGGTGGCTTAAAAAAGAGGCAGGAAGGTGGGGAGGGTTGGGGGAGTGGGTGGTACAGTGAAGGTGAAATGCAGTTGAATTTGGGAAAGAGACCAGGGTTAGAGATAAAATTTTGGAGTTAGTAGTATATGGATGGTATTGAAAGCTCTAGAACTAGATGACATTACCTAGAGAAAAGATGAAATTTAAAAGCATAAAGAAGATGACCAAAGACTGAATTTAGGGCACTCCCAAATCTACATATAAAGTAGAAAAAATAAATCCCTTATGCAGGAAGAGGCTTTGGTCAATGGGAGCACAGACAGTTCACTTATTATGAAATAAGGGAAGGCAGTATACAATACATATGCTAGGAAGTTGGCAGATTTCATGGTGAAGAAAATATAGAAGTTCTTTTTGATCGTTCTTATATTCTTAGTGAAGTTTTAAATAAAACATGAGCTCACAGAGTATGGACAAAAGGTTTGAGAAAAACAGAACCAGATATAAAATAGTTATTGTTGAAAACAATGCACTTACCAGGACATTCTTGTATTTTGGGGCACTAGTGAATACCCACTTGAAATTTTGAATGTAAATTCAAAAGCAATCCGTAGGCATAGTTGTATAATTTTATCTGTCATCATTCAACTGCTCTAAGTACAGAAGATCAGGTAGATAGTTGAATTTACCAGAATTTGTTTTTGTTTTGTTTTGTTTTTAGATAAGCATGATGAATGGAGAGAGAATAAAGGGAATCAATTCTATATCCCATATTTTCCCTCTCTTAAAGACTTCCTGAAATAATATATTATGAAAAAAATTATTATAGATGATCACTTAATAAGAGTGATGCTCTTAAAACTGACTAATAAGACTTTTCAGTTAACATCTATTATTTCATACCAGCCAACTTCCAGGCACTGCCCTGGAATCATAAATCACTGTTAAATAAATATATTCATGCTGCTACTTCCCTTGAAGTCCCTACATAGACTTTTCCATGTGACAAATAGGATGCAAATCAATGTTTACAGTTGCTGTGGTATCAGTACAAAGATATTTTATTTCTTTCTCAGATTCCTGGCACAAAGCTCCTAAAATTCTTGTAATTCCCTGAGTGATTAGGGATAGAAACTTCTTCTGTTCAAAAGAGGTAAATCTTTTTTAAAAATTTTATTTTTAACATTTGTGGTTATATAGTAGGTGTATGTATGTATGGGGCACATGTGATGTTTCGATACAGGCATGCAATGTAAAATAAGCACTTCATGAAGAAAGGAGTATCCATCCCACAAGCATTTATCCATTGAGTTGCAAATAATCTAATTATACTCCTTATTATAAATTGTATAGATAAGTTCTTATTAACTATAGTCAACCTGTTGTGCCATCAAATAATATGTCTTATTCATTTTTTCCAACTATTTTTTGTACTTATTAGCCATCCCGAATTCCCCCCATGAACCCTCCACTACCCTTCTCACCCTCTGGTAACCATCCTTCTACTCTCTCTATTCATGAATTAAATAGTTTTAATTTTTAGATCTCACAAATAAGTGAGAACATTAAATGTTTGTATTTCTGTGCCTGGCTAATTTCACTTACATAATGATCTCCAGTTCCATTCTAGTTGTTGCAAATGAGAGGATCTCATTCTTTTTTATGGCTGAATAGTACTCCATTGCATATATATGTCACATTTTCTTTATCCATTCATCTGTTGATGGATACTTAGGCTGCTTCCAAATCTTCGATATTGTGAACAGTGCTGCAACAAACATGAGAGTGCAGATATCTCTTTGACATATTGATTTCTTTTATTTTGCTTATAAAGCCAGCAGTAGTATCGCTGAATCAATGGTACCTCAATTTTTAGTTTTTTGAGGAAACTTTAAACTTTTCTTAACAGTGGTTTTATTAGTTTCCATTCCCATCAAAGTGTACAAGGGTTCCCTTTTCTCCACATCCTTGCCAGCATTTATTGCCTGTCTTTTGGGTAGAATCCATTTTAACTGGGGTTAAATGATATCTCATTGTAGTTTTGATTTACATTTATCTGATGATCAATGATTTGAGCACATTTTCACATGCCTGTTTCCATTTTTATTTCTTCCTTTGAGAAATATATATTTAAATCTTTTACCCCTTTTTTTGGATCAGATTTTTAGAGGTTTTTTTTTTTAATAGAGTTATTTTAGCTTCTTCTATATTCTGGTTATTAATCTCTCATCAGGGTAGTTTGCAAATATTTTCTCAAATCTATGGGTTGTTTCTTCACTTTATTGATTATATTGTTTGCATGCAGAAATTTTTTAACTTAATGTGATCCCTTTTGTCCATTTTTGCTTTGGCTGCCTGTGCTTGTGGGGTATTGTTCAAGAAATTTTTACCCAGACCAATGTCCTGGAGACTTTCCCCAATGTTTTCTTGTAGTAGTTTTATGGTTTGAGGTCTTGTATTTAATTCTTTAATCCATTTAGATTTTATTTTTGTATGTGGTGAGAGATAGGGCATCTAGTATTCTTCTATATATGGATATCCAGTTTCCTAGCATCATTTATTGAAGGGACTGTTTTCCCCCAGTGTATGTTCTTAGGACCGTTGTTGAAAACAAGTTCACTGTAGGTGTATGGATTTGTCTCTGAATTCTCTACTCTGTCCCATTGGTCTATGTGTCTGTTTTTATGCCAGTAGCATGCTGGTTTGATTTCTATAGCTTTGTAGTATAAATTTGAAGTCAGGTAATGTGATGCCAAATGGGGTAAATTTTGGCAGTCCTCTAGATAGCTTCAGGATGGGGGCTGGGAACCAGAAAGACCAATGTTTGTTTAGAAACTTGAAATTTTCTCTCCCAATTCCCAACCTCCAGGAAAGCCAGATGGGGTGAAGATTGAGTTAATCACCATGATTCAATGACTCAATTGATCATCTCTATCTAAAGAAACCTTAATAAAAGCCCCTAAACGATGGGGTTTGGAGAGCTTCCAGGTTGATCAAAACATTCACCTGCCTGGAAGATTCTGTGCCTCCGCATCTTCATAGTATATAATCTGCCACACTTGGGACCCTTCGAGACCTGGACATGTGTATCTTTTCTTTGGCTATTCATTTCTAATGTTATATTATAGAAATATAAAGGAATTATATCTATTTATTCCTTTATAATAAACTGGTAAATGTAAAATCAGTTGTCCTATCATGTATGTGTGGGTTTATTTTTGTACTTCTTATTCTGTTTCATTGATCTACTTTTCTAACTTTATCCCAGTGAAATACTGCCTTAATCATTATAGTTTTGTAATATTTCTTGAAATCAGATAACATTAGTCTCTACCTTTGTTCTTTATTTTCCAAAGTTGTGTTGCCTATACTAGGTCCTTTGTAGTTCCAAATGTATTTTTGAATCAGTTTGTCAGATTCCAAAATAAACAAACAAACCTACTTGGATTTTAATGGGGATCTTTCTTAATAATTTCCAATTTTATTCCATTGTATTAAAATAACATACTTTGTGAAAATTAAATCTACTTAGGTTTAAAATTTCTTTTATGTTCCAGAATATGTTGTATCTTGGTAAATGTTCTGGGTGTGCTTGAAAATAATGTGCATTCTGCTATTATTAAAGAATCTTCGATCAATTTCTTTTTTTTATTAAAGGTCTGGATAGAAGATACTGTTCATATACTATTACACTATCAGTTGATAGTGTTGTTCAAATCTGTAATACCCTTGTAGATTTTCCTATGTCATTATTAACTATATTAACTATAATTAGGATTATAGTTATTAACTAAATTATTAACTATAATTGAAGATTTGCCTATTTATCCTTGCCACTCTATCAGTTTGCCTCCAGTATTTTGAAACTCTCTTATTAGGTATATAACTCATTATGTCTCCTTGATTAATTGGCCTCTATACCATTATGAGATGAACTTATTAATTCTTATCCATGATGACACTCTTTACTCCAAAGTCTACATTGATATTAACAAAGCCACTACTGCTTCTTTTTGACTAGTGTTTGGATAGTATATCTTTATTATCTTTTTACATTTAACCTATTTGTGTCTTTATATTTAAAGTGTGTTCTTTTAGACCACAGGCTGCTACATACAATGGGCTGAAAAATGTTCCCTTTTTTTCTATTTATTGGAAAAATGTGGCACATATACACCATGGAATATTATGCAGCAATCAGAAATGATGAGTTTGTGTCGTTTGTAGGGACATGGATGAATCTGGAGAACATCATCCTCAGCAAACTAACACAAGAACAGAAAATGAAACACCGCATATTCTCACTCATAGGGGGGTGATGAAAAATGAGAACACATGGACACAGAAAGGGGAGTACTAAACACTGGGGTCTATTGGGGGGAAAAGGGGAGGGTCAGTGGGAGGGGGAGGTGGGGAGCGATAGCCTGGGGAGAAATGCCAAATGTGGGTGAAGGGGAGAAGAAAAGCAAAGCACACTGCCATGTGTGTACCTACGCAACTGTCTTGCATGCTCTGCTCATGTACCCCAAAACCTAAAATCCAATAAAAAATTAAAAAAAAAAAAAAAACTGGCATGAGTTATTTCTCAATGTTTGGTGAAATTTACCAATGAAGCTATCTTAGCCTGAGATTTTCTTTGTAAGTTGTGTCTTTACTATGAATTCAATCTCTTTATTTGTTATAGGTCTGCTCAGGCTTTCTATTTGTTCTTAAGTACATTTTATTAATTTGTGTCTAGAAAGATGTCCATGTCAGCCGGGCGGGGTGGCTCAAGCCTGTAATCCCAGCACTTTGGGAGGCCAAGGCGGGTGGATCATGAGGTCAAGAGATCGAGACCATCCTGGTCAACATGGTGAAACCCCGTCTCTACTAAAAATACAAAAAATTAGCTGGGTATGGTGGCGCGTGCCTGTAATCCCAGCTACTCAGGAGGCTGAGGCAGGAGAATTGTCTGAACCCAGGAGGTGGAGGTTGCAGTGAGCCGAGATCGCGCCATTGCACTCCAGCCTGGGTAACAAGAGGGAAACTCAGTCTCAAAAAAAAAATAAAAGAAAGATGTCCATGTCATGTAGGCTATCTCTTTTATTAGTATAGAGTTGTTTATGGTATTCCCTTATAACTTAACTTATTTATATACATTCAGTAGTAATATCCTCTTATTTATTCTTCATTTTAGTAAAGCCAATCTTCTCTTTTCTTTTCTTGGTCAGCCTACATAAAGATTTATAATTTTGCTGACCTTTTCAAAGAACCTCTTTTTGGTTTCATGATTTTTTCTATTATTTTTCATTTCTCTATTTCATTAATTTCTAATTTAACCATATGATTTCCTTCCTTCTGTTTGTTTTGGATCTAATTTTCTCTTATTCTTCCTGTATTTTCAGTAGACCTTTGAGTTATTGCTTTAAAATATTTCTTATTTTTTAACAGAAGTAGTTATAGGTAGAAATCCTCCTCTAAATACTGCCTTGGCTGCATCCTATAAGTTTTGGGATGTTATATGTTCATTTTCATTCATCTCAAAGTATTTTTATAATGTTCTCTATGATTTCTTCTTTTAATCCATTTAGAATAATTTAATTGCTGCAGATTTGTGAATTTCCCAAGTTCTTTCTGCTATTGATTTCTACTTTTTATTCCATGTGCTTAAATAAACATTTTGCATAATTTTCATCTTTTTAAATTTACTGAGGCTTGTTTTAAGACTTAACATATGATCTATCCTGGATAGTGTTTTATATACCCTTGAGAAAACTGTATATGCTACTGTTATAGATGAAATATTTTTATATGTCTTTTTTGTCTACTGGGTTTCAGTGTTGTTCAAGTCTATTTTATATTGACTTTCTGTCTAACTGTTCTAACCATTATTAAAATCGTGATGTTGAAGTCTCCACTTATTATTGTTGAATTGTGTATATCTCCTTCCAGTCCTGTCAATGTTTTATTTTATCCATTTTGGGGCAAGCAACAGACTCTTAACTCCATCTCCTGAACTCATGGCTCTTTCTGGGCTTTGCCTGTGGTGTCCCTTTCCAGTATGGCCTCGAAATTCACTCAAGACAGTAACATGGAACAATCACAAGACCACATAATTTGTTTCCTATATCAACCATTGTGCCATATATTTTGTCCAGTTTTCTCTGGTTATTTCAGTTGGAAGAGTAAATCTTGCCTCTGTCATTCTGTTTCAGACAGAAACAGAAGCTAGTTAAGCTATGTTTTAAGTCAATTTTTGCAATAAGTATCTTAAAACTGGAATTAACAAGCTTTTTTAAAAAAGGTCTGGAAAGCAGATATTATTTATACACTATTACTATAATGTTACCATTTTAGGCATTGCCAGCCGTCTAGTCTCTCTCATATATACAGCACTTAACTCTGCCATTGTAGCACAAAAGTAGCCATAGACAATATAGAAGTGAGTGTGGCTGAGTCCCAATAAAATCGTATTTAGGAAAATATGAGGTGGTATCCTGGATGTAATTTGCCAACCTAAAATATTAATATTTTTATGTGTCTTTTCCAGACTTCCTTTTATGTGACCCTGCTGTTAGTTAGATATTGCCTAAAGGAGAATTAAAATTATAACAAATGAGAAAAAATAAACAGACAAACTTTTAAACTGTCAAAATCGGCTCTAGAAAATTGAAACAGAAGTTTCAAGGAATGAAAAACAACACATTTATGCCATAACACCAGAAGCAGAATTTAAAAAGAACCAGACAACCTCGTGCATACTCTTCATCCTTCCCTCCCTACTCTCATCATCAGTCTTTACAGAAATAGATAAAAATCACTGGAGCTGAGGAGATTAGGAAAAGAGAAATGTGGTGTTGCCTTGGTCAGGGAGCTAGACATGATAAAAGATGACAAAAATTAAACACAAGGAGAGAATGGGGTATGCATTAGGAGGTTCTGACTACAGCCAAGGACCAGTGCCAGGAGAGTCACAACATCTGGGTCAATATCTACAAATCCTGAGACACTATTTATATGAGCTCTATTACCCATTCTTTTCATTTCTATAGGGTAAGGGACTTGCTTTGACAGTCCTTGATCTATTACATGGTATATTATCATTCAACAGGATATTTGCCCATTCCCAGCTGAGTCCCATTCAACCTAGTAACTAGTAAAGATGGATAATCCCATTTTTAAAAGACAAACACTCTTAAATTAAATTTTCACTTCCCTCCCCTGCCCTCCTGCTAAAACAAACAGTGGGATGCTTATCACCGAGAATATGAGAAAGGAAGTCCCAGTAGGTGTTTTGGGAGAAAATTAAAACTGGTAAACCTCATAACTATCCTAAATATATCCCCCAAATTTAGTGAAAATATATCTACCTTTTATGGAGCAAAGCATTAACTGAGAAATATATCCTCTAGATTGGACAGCATTTCAAGTTGGAATAAAAAAATACTCTGAACCAGTTTTGTGATTCACAGTTGCTGATTTAGGGATTCCATTCTTTTAATCCTTAAATCTATTTTATTTTCTGGTTGTTTTAAAATATTTTCCGTTTGCCCAATACTGATTCTACTAGTTAGAATTTACAACCACACAACTGATTATTATTGTTTAAGCAGCTTACAAAAATTAAAAGGTCTATATGTCAATCACCTATAATGGCAACCAGTAATAATAATACTCTTAGCAGAATAACAAGATCATTAGAGCTTCAAAGGACATTGGAAATCAACAATTTTATCTTCATCATCTTACAGATGAGGAGACTGAAGCCCTGATGAGTGAAGTTGCATATCTAACATCACAAATGTGGAATGACTAAGATTAAAGGTTTTCTGATACTAGTCCAATGCTCTTTTAATGATTCTGTGGCAACAGATCATTTAGTTCAAAAATTGCCTGTTGAGCTTCAAATACATTTTAATAATTATTTGAGATTTCCTAGACAAGAGAAGCCCCATTTCAGTGCAAAATAATTTTGCAAAATAAATGTAATCCATAAGAAAATAAAAATCTGACCAACGATGATATTTCACTGGCTCATTCATATGTCAGCAAAGACAATACAACTAACTAATGAGAACACTCATCGGTAGTAAGTATCAATTCTAAAGCACTGGGAACTAACTCTTGCCAACAACAGCCCTGGTCTCATTAATCTGTTTCTGGTTTCTATTCTTTCTCACCAACACACTTTCTCTTCACAGTCAGGTCCCTTGGAGTTGATTCAAAAAAACAGCTTAACCTGGCCTTAGTAAAGAGAGATTTACTGTAAAGAATCGAGGATATTTCCCAGAACCTCACAGCAAGGATTTAGCAAATGCTTTATTAAGAACTCTCGGGAACCCATGGTTTCTCATCTCTTCCACTTATCAGATCTACCCCCATTCTTCTTGTCTGCATTTTTTTTAAGTAGGTGGATTAGGTCACAGCGCAGTCAACAGTATACAAAAGTCCAAAAAGTGCTGATAAAAAATAGCCCCAGGCTCCAAGTATACATTGCCTTGCAGGTAAATTACCTCTTCTAAAAAATGTGTAAGAGCATAAAGGAAGTTACTGAAATTTCTAATCAGTTACATTAGAAATAATACTTTTTTTCTAGTATAGAAATAATACTTACCATAGAAATTCTTTATGTAGATATAAAGCTGTAAAATTTTCAGAATGTGTCCACATCCTCTTTCTTTCACCTCACCTTAATCCCATGGAGGAGGTGACCAGGTATCATTTCGCCCATTTTGCAACTGGAGAAACAAATTCAGAGACTTTAAATGATACATCCAAGCTATCAAACCAGATCTTGAATCCAGGTTTCCTGGCTTCTAGTTCATTTGCCCTTTTAATAACCACATCCATGGCTGCTGGCCTGTGAAAGGCAGAAATCATGATGATGTGAAGGTGATGACAGCGGCTAAGACATGTGAACTCAGTAGTAACCTATTTGAAAATTTGGTTTAGAATTCTACCAGTAAACTGATTTTTATTCTTAGATCTCAACTGTACCCTTCTTCAATTTTTTTTTCTGCTCTTCCTTGTGGATGTGCCAAATTATTTTAATTAGAAAGTTAAGTAAATTAAAACATTTTAATTTTGCTTAACTTTTAACTTCCTATCGTCTGATTCCTCTTCTGATTGTGAACCAGGAGTGACCTGAAAAACTGTCAGAAAATAACATGAATGATGATAACAATGGCAATAACAACCTAAGGCCAGTCATCTATAGCATTACAGTTTCTTTTGAAACTGAGGAACAGCATAAAAATTTAAAGACAAATGTTAAATATCTGCCACTAGATGAAAGAATTCCTTATTTAGTGATTGATATGAGCCTGAGGAACTAACTCCATGTGTTGAAGCAGAGCAGAAAACTTGAGTACAAAGGTATTATGCAAACAAAGAACAGTATTTCCATATGTATAAGTTTGACTGGGTCTTGCTGAAGTGAGCTCTGGGGCACTTTCCCTAACACAGACATGAGAATCTGGGATTTGTATCTAAAGCATTCTTCATGGTTAGATCATTGTTTATATAAATGTAAGGTGGTAGTTTCTGTTAGGATATCCTGAGTGAGAATTTGCTAGTAAAGAAAACCTGAGGACAGATTTTAAATATTTCCAAGGAACATATAAACACAATGTTAATACAGCATCAGCCTATGTCAAGTAAAGCAGATAACATCTTGATGTAAGGTTTCTTCAACCTAGAAGTTTGCCTTCATGAACACTAGGGATCCAATTTCGAAGAAATGAATGTAACTTATAAACTTAAAACAGAAATCATCTGTCTCATAGGCATATCCTCAAAGAAAACTGGCTATCGAATTTTCATTCAAATGGATGCTAAAACTGATGCTGCTCACTGAAATGTTCATTTTAAACATCTTTAATTGATCACTATAAGAAGGATATGTTTTGTGTTTTTAATAAAATGACTACTACCTTGAATAACATCAATTATTTTACTAATAATTAAGAAAAAAAATCCAAAGTAATGTCTCCTCCTATCCCAGGAATAAACATTATTACAGCAACCACTTGCCTTCCTTTTATTCAAAACTTCTCTTTAACTGAGTACACACAACTCTCCCACTCCTGGTCACCATTACATTTCTGTTCTTCCATGTTCACCTCTCCCTTGGCTGACATTCTGGACTAGAAGAATGACAGGAAAGAATGAAAGAAACAACCAAACCAAGACTGATAGATAAAAGAGAATCAAGTAAATATGCTCAGCAAGAGGAACCCAGTCACAGAACCTTGAAACCTCAAAATTTCGAATTTGGAAGGAAACTATAAAAAGAAAGCAGTAAATGCTATGGAACAAAGTAGAGAATTGGGGAGATGATTGGCAGTGGAAATTTGCACCTCTTCCCCTCATTTCCCATAAGGATTTATTTTGTTCCTCCTACAGCTCTATGTTCTCTCTCAGCTCACTGCAGCCTTGATATCCTGGGCTCAAGAAATCCTCCCACCTCAGCCTCCCGAGTAGCTGGGACTACAGGTGCAGGCCATCATGCTTGGCTAATTTTTGTACTTTTTGTAGAGATGAGGCTTTGCTATGTTGCCCAGGCTAGTCTCAAACTCCTGAACTCAAGCAATCGGGCTGCATCAACCTCCCAAAGTATTGGGATTATAGGCATGAGCCATGATACCAGGCTGGACTTTTTTTGTTTTACTCCTTTTTTTAATGGCTGTTTTTCTAATCCTCAACTCTTCCATTTTCTTCTAACTTCTCACCAACCACTTTGACTTTCCTTTGGTTTGCATTTAACTTTAAAATGTAAGAGGCTTTTTTTGTAACTCACAAATAGTTGAAAATCCCTTTGACCGTGAGGCAGTACTTCAGCTCAGGGGAGCTGGAAGTTCTGCAGCAAGCCCAGTCGGTGTCAGATCTCTCTGCACCAGGGGCAAGCTATGCTGTCTTTCACTATGTCTGGCCTGCGTGGCCAGTTAAGGGTGGATGGAGTCTTAAAGCCTCTTTTTTACTGGACTTTGTTAATACTCAAAACCAAGTAAAAATCTCCTGTTACTTCATAAGGTATAGTTAAACCTGGGAAAAAATGGAAATAATTATGGTTTTGTGGAGTCATTTAAAAAATATAAGCATCTTTTCTATTATTTTCCTTTTCTTGCAAATAACACAGAAGTAGTAAGACTTCCCAGGGATTAACTTGCTCATCTGACCAAATTTGGCTCAACATCTTGACAATGTCTGGTTAAAAGATGTGACTCCCACAATCATAGCTTTTTATCCCCTACACCATGTTTTACTCATTACCTGGCAAAGGTACAAGCCAAAATTCTCGTAAACCTTCTGATTTCCCGTTCATAATTTCAGGAAGTAAACCATGGCCGAGAAACCACATGAAACTCCATTAAATGAATCTAAATAAATGATAACTCTCCAAATGAATCAGCGTTTACCCAAATTCCATGCACAGCAGAGAGACAACGATGGTCAATAAATACCAGACTCTCAATAACCACAATGCATAGGCTTGATCTCAGGGACAACTCCATCTCGGCTGAATGTAAAGCGAAAAGAATATTTACAACTCCTGGTCACAGCTAGAAGTATGCTGGTTAAACAACAGACCTCATGTATCTTTGTAACAACTGACTCACAGGGCAGAATAAATTAGGAAAACTGAGTCAGGCCATTAAAGTGGATGCTTACATTTAAACAGGAGCAAAGAAGAAGATTTTAGGGACTGAAGATTGCTTTAAAAGACTGCACAGAAGGTAACTTTTAAATTGCACAAAATTTTTTATGATCATAACAAGGTCATTTTCTTGGCAAGGCTGTGCCTGAACATCTTTTTATTTTTATTTTTATTTTTTTGAGACAGTCTTACTCTGTTGCCCAGGCTGAAGTACAGTGGCACTATCTCAGCTCTCCACAACCTCTGCCTGTCAGTTTCAAGCAATTCTCTTCCCTCAGCCTCCTGAGTAGCTGGACTACTGGTACATCCCACCATGCCTCGTTAATTTTTATATTATTAGTAGAGACAGAGTTTCACTATATTGGCCAGGCTGGTCTCAAACTCTTCACCTCATGATCTACCTTGGCCTCCCAAAGTGCTGGGATTACAAGCATGAGCCACTGTGCACAGCCCCACCTGAATGTCTTTTATTGCTTAAACTAATGTTTGTGGAGTTTTTATTGTGTTTCAGGGAATGTGCTAGGTACTGGGGATATAGCAAACAACAGAATATACTTCTTATCCTTATAGGCCAGGTCCAGTTCACTGCTTGTTTTTTTGTAAATGAAGTCTCATTGAAACACAATCATTTGGTTATGTGTTGGGAACTGAACGTGAGCCCGGGAATCTTGTCCAGTGAGGATCCCACACCTGGAAGAGAGCGTGTGCCGGAAAAAAAGGAGAAAGAAAAGAGCGAGGTCTGGAGGGCCACATGAGCTATGTTCATGCAGCAATTTTATTTTTGCAATAGGTTCCATTATATAGTTTTCTGCTTAATGTTGTTTACATCAGATCAAAATACTTAAGTCAAGTCACAAGGTAAGCAAGTTAAGCCCACTAAGTAAGTTACACCCAGTAAGTAAGTTACGCCCAGTAAGTAAGTTACGCCCAGTAAGTAGGTTACGCCCAGTAAGTAAGTTACGTCCAGTAAGTAGGTTATGCCCAGTAAATTATGCCCAGTAAGTTACACCCAGTAAATACTTAAGTTACTGGTTAGGCCCAATAAGTCAAGGTAAGTAAGTTACACCCAGTAAGTTACGCCCAGTAAATAGTTAAGTTAATATTTTACAACGAATGTATCAAGGATCCAAAATGAACACAATGAAGCAATAAACCATAGGGAGCTGAAAGTGGACACAACGCCTCCCAAGTCCTCATATCCATAAAGTAATGTCTGTTAATTATTTTGAATAACATAGTTCCTCTCTCAGTTCCTGCTTTTCCTCAGCTCGACTCCCCCAACCGGGATCTGTGTCCGGGCTCAAGCTCACCGTACAGCGAGGCCCATTTCCTAAGGCCCTCACATGGGAGCGATCCCCACAGATCCCTCAGTTATGTATTTTATCACCGGCTGCTTTCATACTACAATGACAGAGCCAAGATCCTCGTATGATGTACCTTTGTTATCATTAGTTTCAAAGAACTTCTTGATTTCTGCCTTAATTTCATTATTCACCAAAAAGTCATTCAAAAGCATGTTGTTTAATTTCCATGTAAGCAATTTTCTTAGTCTTGACTTCTATTTGTACTGTGCTATGGTCCTAGAGTGTGTTTGGTATAATTTCAGTTCTTTTGCATTTGCTGAGGACTGTTTTCTGTCCATAATTGTGGTCAATTTTGAGTATATTCATGTGGCAATGAGAAGAATATATAGTCTGTTGTTCTGGGGTGAAGAGTTTTATAGAAGTCTATCAGATCCATTTGGTCCAATGTTGAGGTAAGGTCCTGAATATCTTTGTTAACTTTCTGCTCCAATGATCTGCTAATAATGACTGTGGAATGTTGAGTCTCCCACTATTACTGTGTGGAAATCTATGTCTCTTTGTAAGTCTTTAAAAATTTGCTTTTTCAATCTGGGTGCTCCTGTGTTGGCTGCATAAATATTTAGGATAGTTAGCTCTTCTTGTTGTATTGAACCCTTTACCGATATGTAATGTCCTTCTTTGTCCTTTTTGATCTTTGTTTGTTTAAAGTCTATTTTGTCTAAAATTAGGATTGTAACCCCTGCCATTTTCTGATTTCCATTTACGTGGTAAATTTTCC